GTAAGGCGGCGAGGAGAGCGTTGCCACTAACCCAGATTATCACATGTATCTAGGTACATTTGACTTCATTATAAAATAATTACGTTATATAACATGGGTCTTTGGAAACGAGTGGACTTTTGGGATGGGGGGAGGCACACGGGATAGTCCACACTATTTAGTGCCCTTGCTTTCATTTCAACTGACATGAGCTAAGTGAGTCCTGCTGGCATTCCTTCCTATGTTTTCTACGTTTGTTGAGTACTTGCCAGGTACATAGATGTAGGTCGTTGGTCTACGACTCGATCCAAGTTCGCTTTTTGAGATCAGGGCTTATATCCCTTGGCCAAGAGCAGCCAGCTTGGTGGCAAAGTGATGTCATGAGTTAACTCGGTACTCGCGTCCTCTAACCAGCGGCCAAACTACTCTAGTGCCCAGAGCAACTGCAGCCGTCGATGCAACCTAATATCGAAGGACGGAAAAGCCATGAAGCGTCCTACACAACGCATAAACATGCCACATACTAGGTGGTATACAACTGCTTCGGTTCGAAGGTTAGGACATATGCACCCGTGCTTGTGTGGGGAACCATTGGGCACTTGGATCAAACAACTCGGCCCGTCGTTTTCTACCTCGGAGAGGGTTGTCTTTCGATCAGCCTCTGCCGTGTGTTCGCCAAAAATGGATTGCTACCCCTTCCTGAACCGTCCAGTGGTATCCGTGTTTGCGGCAGGTCAAGCGAGCGGCGTTCTGTTTCCTGTTTTTTTTTTTTTACCGCAAAGCAGCATTTGCATTGACTCTCGCATGGCGACATGGAGAATCCTTCGGGAGAGGATGGTTGGGTGAATGCGAGATCGCATGAAGTTCCCGACAGTTGCGGCGACACAGGATCGCCGCATGTTTGAGACTTCCCATGGAATCTGCCGCCAGTGGTGCTGGAATGCGGATTGTCTGGTTTGGTGGAGGCCATATGTGGAGGTCAAACACTGGGGATCCACCTGTCCACAACGGGAGGAGAGTCGGATGGGGAACCAGACACACGTGGGGGAGGACCGTGGTTGGCATGTTTCACTCAGTGACTGGTTGTAACTATCGAATGTACATACACCAGTACCCAAATAATAACAACGACGGTTTACCGCCTTAGATTTGTGAGTTGTGTGTCAGCTTGTGTCGACGCTCTGTAGCTAGTGATTCTCGGGCTTTATGTGGTTAGGAGGTCGGCTAATGCGCATCGCGGTTGATGCATCGTGAGTGCGACTATCGTGAGAAGGACCCGACGTCGAGATATCTTGATGGAGGAGGAGCTGTTGCCCCGATTGGCCGAACAGGACGAGACTCGGGTGGGAGACGGTCTGAGCGGGCGCGGGAATGCGGCGAGATAAACGCGGCTCGTCTGGTTCGGCAATCGAGACGGGCGAGGGCGCCTCCTGGTTTCTCCCTTCCCGACCCGTGTCTGGTGGCTGCAACTCCAACCATCTAGACGCCAATTACACGCCGTCAGGACCTGTGTCCCTGATGCAATGCGCGCTCAGTCGCCCAGTCGATTTGCCAGATGGTAGTAGAGCGCTTATTTATATTGCGGTGGGCTTTCCAGTGACACCTTGACACTGACGGGGGGCATCCATATTTGTAAACCCGCCCTGTGGTACATACAGCTGGTTACCATGGACGGTGGTGACCCGAGAAACTGTGCCTGGAGTTTCGGAACCGAACCGGGGAATTTGTGTTTCGATCTCAAAATGGATCCTCAAACTCGCCGAGTTCCAGCGATTCCCCCACCCACCCACTTCCTGTCATGGATGAGCGAGGGTCCACAGCCCATGTGCGGACCCACCTCGGATAGCTTTCCGCAATGCGCAGAGAGGCACGACAGAAGCTCCAGCTCTCCAATCCGATCCAAGCTCCCAATTGCGGCATCGTAAAAAGAAACGGAGCGAGGGGTCTTGCCGCAGTCCTTGATGTGATCTGTGGGTGTAAACAAAAAAAAAAGAAAACAAAAAAACTTTGCTATTTCAAGTCATGCGTCCCCACAACACATCGGACGATCAACTATCCAAAATACCTAGTTAAAACCAACTGGTCAGTTACCAGGCCATCTCTCGAGGAGAGGACTTCCGAGTTGCGTCGCAGTTGTCGGAGCTCAGCCACCGGTCAGTGCATAGAGTATCTCCGCGTCGCTCTCATGAAAACCAGATGACAGATCAGAGCTCTGGTTGCCAAATGCATGACAGATTGACGGCGGCATCAGTCATTCGTTGACCACACTGGGGTACTGAGACATCGCCGAGATCTGGCGATTGGGCTTGGCTATTGATAGTCGTCGTGTGGTACGAAGCAGCCATGTCGAGATCACAGATATAGCTGGCTAAGTTATAATCATGATGATACGACTCGACCTCCCAAGCAAGCAGCGGCATGGCGTTGTATATATTATGTTGCGGTTGCATACCGTTGATGCACGCGCCATTCCGTTCCGTCCATGGTGATATCGCGAGATCTCGATGCTGGTTACCCCGAAGTTCGAGGTGGTGTTTGAGACACCAGTCCGTTGGGATGCATGAATGCGGTAATACCGAGCAGGGGCTTTGGGCGTGCTAACCTCTTGGGGGAAGGCTGCACCCAAGTCTTAACTGGAAGCGAAATTAGATCGTGGGTCTGCCACCAGTCCTCCCGTGTCGTTTGCTGAACGCCCCGAACTTGCACGCTTCCACCCGTTCTTCTTTGATTTTCTTCACCCGCTTCTTCAAGTTCTGTGAGGGGTGATACTGGACCCAGGGTCCTTCCACACCACCTACCAAGAGCGGCATTCTCCTTCTTCCAATTCCTCTCTTTTTTTTTTCCCACATTCGTTTCAACCAACCCACACTCACTTTCACTTCCTCGTTGGGCCGTGGCACTTCCCCACCCCTAATAAGAACTGTCTGTTCTCGCAGCCCAACTGCTGCAGTCGCTCCTTTCGCGTCACTTTTCGCAACTGCCGTTGGCGATCTTGCACCACACCGTCTCACTTCACCCACCGACGACTCTTTCCAGTCTTGCTTCTCTGGCTCGACTGGGACCGAAAAGCCGCTGGCGTCCACATATCTCTGTGTACAATTTTGCGCCGCGGGCAAACAAGTAACGTGCAGAGGGTTCGACCAGGAAAACCGCGTTGTTGTCAAGGTCGCGCAGCCAAACCCCATAGTGCAACCGCAACCACGAATTGGTTTCATAACTGCCGACAGAACAGCCCGTGAGCTCAAAGACCTTAGGAAATCCCGAGGACGGCCATGAATACGACAAGACAGTGACCCAACAACCGGCAACTTACTTGAACAACCCCGGTGACGAGAGATACCAATCGAGTTGGTACTGGAAGGGAATTCAACAAAAAGTGTGGGGTTATCACTGGTCAGATACGGCCCGGGACGGAGCGAGCGCGGCCGAGCGCGAGAAGGATTATCCAGCTTGTTTTCTTGTCGACGACTTGCGCCGCCATGTCTTCCTGCCTATCACTCAAAGGCTCCAAGGCATGCTCCGCCTTCCAGGCATCGTCCGTGTCTACCACGGACACGAATGTCGTGGGGTTGTTGTATGTGAATTGGGCATTTTCTGCCGCGGCGTTCACATAGCTAACTTCCTCGCAGCCCTTTTCTACGATTTGCCTCAAACGTTGAGACGCTCGATGCGCTCCTGATGTCTCATGTGCAAACAGAATACATCCGGGAAAAGTGAGGCTCGAAATCCCTTGAGAGTACGCCGTTCGAGAGAGATCTAACGTTCTACTAGGTTTTCAGTGCTCCTCGGTTGTGGAGGGATCGATTACACCAACACGAGTGACATCTATGCTCGCTTCACGACCTCGGTAATCTGTAATGCTATTATCCAGAATTCCATCGAACCTTGCAGTCTTGCGCCCGCAGAATCCCGTCCGCTTTGCGCCGAGACCTGCGTAAGGCTTTCCCATCTTTCACTATCCGTTCCTTGCTAACAGGATTTCTAGGCTCAATATGCCCAGGCCGAGGCGTACTTGGTTTCTGACACTTCCCTTTGCCCTGACCCTAGTAGCGATGCGCAATCACAAATCCGGGCCGATTTCACCAACTGTGCCCTGCCTGACAGTTCATTATCGACTCGAGACTGCATCACGGGCGTGACGAATGAACCTGACAATTGCGGGTATGGAAATAGCACCGTGGGACTGTGTTCCTACTGCGCTAAGGGTGGAATTAACTCGACCGATACCTGTTGCTACGGGGCCGATGCCGAAACGCGCTGCGCCGGAGTTGTTCTGCCCACAATCACACCAATCACTTTACCGACGGTTACAGCGACGGCGACACCGGATCCGAATGACGATTCCGCTGGGGGCGGTCTATCAGGGGGGCAAATTGCTGGCATCGTTATCGGCTCGGTCCTTGGCGTCGGCCTCATCGCGGCCCTTATTTTCGGATTTCTTGTTTATCGAAGGAGGAGGAGCGGCAGCCAAAACGGCAGCGTCTTCAACCAGCCATCGCCCGCTCGACGTGGCCCACCGTCACAGATGGGGCAGACCAACGCATCGGCTGGGTTTGACGTGTTGCCTGGTGGGAGGATCGCCCGGATGTCCGCCCTCGAGCGCCATTCCCGTGACTCGCCGTCCCGTCACACGGCTCGGGATATGCACAGCTCCGTCCCCGGAACCGCGGCGGGGTATCGTGGGAGTAGGAGGAGAGGCGACGACCATTCATCTTCTGATGGTTTTGGCTCTAGCCCGCCATCTGAACGCGGTACGGGCGGCGTGCTCCGGCCGCCCCCGACAATGTTGAGGCGGAACGGATCTCTTTCAAGCGGTTCGGTGCTGGCGGGTGAGGATCCTCAGTCGCCCAGCTCTGGCGGCATCTCTTCCCCTCCAGGGATATCGAGCCAGCAGTCGGAGCAGCTGCCATTTTTCAAAGACTACTATTCCCAGGACGATATCCACCCTGGCGACCGAGTTGCGGTTCTCTGGGCGTATCAGCCGCGGGCTGGCGACGAGTTCTTGTTGGAACGTGGCGACATGCTCAAGGTTGTGGGGATTTGGGACGATGGCTGGGCTACGGGCGTCATGGTGGACGAACGCGCAGAGCAGTGGGAGGCCCGCCGGCAAGCCCAGCGGGACAGTGGGGTGTCGAATACATCAGGCAGAGCGCGCGAGGAGTCACCGCCCGTCAGCGGCGAAATCAAAGCGTTCCCGCTGGTTTGCGTGTGCTCGCCGGAGCACTGGAAGAAGACAATCGACGGCGACGGCTCGACCGACACGTCCAGCGCGAATCCGTACATGACGGCGGCGTAACTTTGGAGCGCGGCTTAATGATGATGACCTAATTCTCGATTACATTTTCCGATCATGCTCGATGAATGCGTCCCTGCTTTCGTGCGGCATTGTCTACGGCGTTGGGGCTTACGACACGCTCTGATTTTCTCCCCTGGCGGTTTCGATTCCCCGTTTTCTGGACCTGCCACTCTCGCCCCCGAATCCGATCATGGCGACGTGTCGGCTGCCAGTTTCTATTATCCAACTCACGGCAGCATGCATGGCCTTGTTATTTCTTTGTTTTATATACCCACATTTGCGGTTCGGAGTCTCCTGCGGCGTGGCGTGGCCTTTTTTTTAGCTTGGTTATATTGCGAGTATGGCAGGTGTTTATCCCGGACAAGGACAAACAATTCATAGACTATCAGCGCCGACCTGAAGACTAAGTAGGCCCGCGACATTTCAACACGAACCACATGGAGATACTCTGCAGATATTCTTGGTCTCCTAGCTGAGACAGCCTTTTCTTTAGTTAGACACACAAAAGGAATAGATAAGCTGGTTGCTTAGATCTAATGATTTTGTCATCTTTGGCGGGCCTGATTTATGCATGTGAAGTACGACTATTGAGGCCGATGGAGTTGAAATGCTTGTTGGTAGATACCCGTGTCTGAGCTCGAGAGCAGTCCGGAACCCAGCCCGAGCTTCCCCACCGAGCCCACTTCCCTTGGCAGGGCTGCGGCTGGCAGGGCTTATCTTATCTTCACCTCCGGAGATCGATTGGCTGACGCCATTCTCGTCGGCTCCAAGGAACGGACCTTCTGACCACAGCCCGGAGCTCTCTCCTTTCAAATACCCTGGGTTTGTGGTTTTCTTTTTGCGACGCCGTCGTTGTTGCTTCGTCAAGGGCATCCAAATTACACGTTGTATCTCCGACATCAACTCGCCGTTTAGACGTTTCGCCGCTGGATCAACACGAACCACGCCCACGCGCGCCGACGCCGACGCCCCGCCGATCCCCACGCGATTGGGAATACAACCCAATAGGCAAACCAGGCTTGATCAAGATGTGCCACGCCGCCTCGACACTTTGTCCAAGGTAGTCGGAAAGTAGGATAACTGGCTGTGGAGCGGAGCGAAATAATCGACAATGGGTCAGGGCTTTTCTCTCGCAACCCCTCGAGCGGGGGGTGCCGGCATCGACGTACCGGAACTCGCCGACTTGGTCTACGAGCGGTCTGTCGGCACCGGCGTATTTATGAAGAGTGTCCGGGCAAGGCACCACGAGGGTGTCATGTTGGCCAAGGTGTTCGTCAAGCCATACCTCATGTCCTTAGACGAATACAAGCAAGCCATCATCCGTGAGCATGCCGATTCCGAGTGCCGTAGCCGCAACCCGTGCTGATAACCAACTGCTACTCCAGGCGAGCGACGGGTTTTGAACGACGTGCCGAATGCGCTCCCCTACCAACGCGCCATCGAAACCGAGACGAACGGGTACCTCGTTCGACAGTTCCTCTACAACTCGCTCTATGACCGCCTCAGCACTAGGCCGTTCCTCGAGGACATTGAAAAGAAGTGGCTGGCATTCCAGCTTTTGTGCGCCCTCCGTGACTGCCACAGCAAGGGTGTCTACCACGGCGATATCAAAACTGAGAACATTCTGGTGACCTCGTGGAACTGGCTTTACCTCGCCGATTTTGCCTCGTCTTTCAAGCGCGTCATGCTTCCCGAGGACAACCCGGGGGACTTTTCTGTCTTTTTCGACACATCCGGCAGGAGAACATGCTATCTCGCACCCGAGCGCTTCTTGCCGCCCGGTGAAGAAGCCGACCCGAATGCGAAGGTGACCTGGGCCATGGACGTATTCAGCGTCGGTTGTGTCATTGCTGAGCTCTTCCTCGAGACACCAATCTTCAGCTTGAGCCAGCTCTATTCATATCGGAAGGGCGAATACGACCCCGTAATAACCCATCTCAGCAAGATTCCTGACAAGGACTTGCGAGAAATGATCACACAGATGATCCAGTTGGACCCGCAGAAGCGATACTCGGCCGAGCAGTACCTGGACTTTTGGAAAGGCAAGGTGTTTCCGGAGTACTTTTACAGCTTCCTGCACCAGTACATGGAGCTGATCACCGACCTTTCGTCCGCCCAATATTCTGCCGGGGGCACTGGGAGGAATATCGGCGAAGCAGACCAGCGGATCGAGCGGGTGTGGCTAGACTTCGACAAGATATCTTATTTTCTCGGCTACCATGACGATGAGAACCGTGCCGAGGAGCGCCAGCTCTCCCCAAGGCTTGGCCTGAGGAATTTCCCCGTGCGTCTAAACATCCCGAACAACGAGCACTACGTCTCGCCTGATAAGCAGCCATCGGCGGACGACGGCACGCTGATCTTTTTGACTCTGGTTGTGTCATCCCTTCGAAATACGGCTCACGCCGCCCCGAGGGTTAAAGCCTGTGACATATTGCTGGCTTTCGCCGAGCGGTTGACTGACGTAGCGAAACTGGATCGAGTTCTACCGTACCTAGTCGCGCTGCTCAGGACAGATTGATGTGGTGGTAGTTTCCGCTGTGCGGGCTATCACGCAACTTCTCGACCTCGTCAAAGTCATCACTCCCGTGAACTCCCAGATTTTCCTTGACTACGTCATGCCTCGCATGGAGCCATTGTTATTGGACACACAGAGGGCGTTTTGTCCTCTTGTCAGGGCAACGTACGCTTCTTGCCTTGGAAGGCTGGCCATTTCTGCGGATCGGTTCCTCGCCATGGCCGCGGCTCTGCGGGCGGACGGAACCGCGACCCTCGCGGACCCCGAAGTTGAGCCTGGAAACGAGGCGGAGACGCCATTCGCCGGGCTGTTTGACAACGCCCGCCGGGAACTAGTTGAGGTGTTCGAGGCTCATACCAAGACGCTGATTGAGGACTCAGACCCCTTCGTTCGACGAGCGTTTCTCACCTCGGTGCCCGATCTATGCATCTTTTTTGGCGCTCTCCAGGCTAACGACATCGTTCTCACACATCTAAATACTTACCTAAATGACCGGGACTGGATGCTCAAGTGCGCCTTTTTCGATACCATCGTTGGCATCTCGGCGTTCCTAGGGAGCAATAATCTAGAAAAGTTCATGCTACCTCTCATGATCCAGGCTATCACCGATCCAGAGGAACATGTGGTTCAGGGGGCGCTCCATTCACTAGCAGAACTGGCAAATATCGGTCTCCTAACCAAGCACACTTATCTCGAGCTGGTGGGTATGATTGGTCAGTTTACAATGCACCCCAACCTTTGGATTCGTGAGTCGGCTGTCGAGTTTGTTTCGGCTGGCACGCGTTTCTTGAGTCCGGCCTATCTCAGGGTCCAGGTGCTTCCACAGCTGGTGCCCTATCTCAAGCCACACAGGCTGCCAGCCTTCTCCGAGCTCGACCTGCTCGAGGCACTTCAGAAGCCGCTGTCGCGGTCGGTATTTGACCAAGCCCTGCTGTGGGCATCAAAGGCGGACAGGGGCGATTTCTGGAAGCCTTTTAGGAAACTTCGAGATGCCGTCTCAAAGCCCGTCTCGTCCAGGGCAGATTCAAACTCCAAGTTGTTGACCAAGACGACGCGCAACGAGGAGGACGAGCAGTGGCTGAACAAGTTGCGAAATCTTGGGCTTGCCCTCGAGGACGAGCCCAAACTGCTCGCCCTGAGAGAATTTATTTGGCGATTAAGCCAGATTAAGGCCAGGGACTCGGCCGCGCAAGACACAGGGGCTACGACGGCGCTCAACAATATCATTCCGACTCGTGACCTGGGCATCATGCCCCAAACTGTGATATTTGTCGAAGAATCAGCTGCCCAGCCCGTGGTCGCTCCGGAGCCAGACCCAAATGCGCCACGAACCATCAAAGATGCTCTTCTCGACGCATCCATGTCGATCGACGACCCTGTGGGCAAGAAGCGACGAGCGGCCTTGAATAACCACCGGACCCGCCTCGGGAGCCGGGATAATCTATCGCCCATGTCTGCAGATAGTAGAAGGCCGCTAGATGATGATTCGGCTGCCTCTTCGGCTCTCGGAGGGGAAGCTGCGAGGGCCACATCCAGGCGGATATCCCATACTCCAGGCAACGCGCCTATGCTGTCGCCTGTGGATGACGATGTATCGATCCAGGATGCTCCGTATGCAATGAGGAGGGGCTTGCGGCACCAATCGAGCGCCATGAACCTCATGAATAGAAGGGATAGTGGCAAGTCCGGGCCAGAAACTGGCACCACTGAGACAAACGCCTTTGGCGAAGTAGAAGGACCATTTAGGCAGGCTCCCGTGCGCAAGTCCTCGGAGCCCGATACAGACTCGGCCTTGGTCTACGCGAAAACACGGCTACGCGCCAACCACACATACATTGGCAATGATCCTAACATTCTCAAGATGCTTGACGAGATGTATGTCGATAATTACCCGCACGATATTTACGACTACGGGCCCTTGGTGACGCCCATCAGCCGACTAAAGTCTAGCAAATCGACGGGATCCCAACCGGCAAGGGAAGATGCCTGGAAACCAGCCGGCAAACTCGTGGCGACGTTCTCGGAACACGTTGGGGCGATCAACCGAATCGTCGTCTCCCCAGACCACCAGTTCTTCCTTACGGGAGGTGACGATGGGTGCATCAAGGTCTGGGACACTGCCCGGCTCGAGCGCAACATTACACACCGGTCGAGGCTCACACACAAACACGCTCCGGGCGCCAGAGTGCTCGCACTCTGTTTCATTGAGAACACGCACAGCTTCGTCAGCTGCGCAAGCGACGGCAGCGTCCACGTGGTCAAAGTCGACACCATCCTCACCGGCGCCAGCTTCCGCTACCCGCGTCTCCGCCTGCTGCGCGAGTACCAGCTCGTCGAGGGCGAATTGGCCGTGTGGTGCGAGCACTTCAAACAGGACGGCAACTCGGTCCTGCTCTTGGCGACGACCAAGTCGGTGGTCCGCGGCATCGACCTGCGCACCATGACGCTCCTCTACAAGCTCGAGAACCCGGTCCACCACGGCACCCCAACCTGCTTCTGCGTCGACCGTCGCCGCAACTGGCTCTGCCTCGGCACCTCGCACGGCGTGCTCGACTTATGGGACCTCCGCTTCAAAATGCGCCTCAAGGGCTGGGGCGTGCCCGGCAAGGGCTCCATCTACCGCCTGTCCATCCACCCCACCAAGGGCCGCGGCAAATGGGTCTGCGTCGCCGGCGGCACGGGCCAGGGCGAGGTCACGGTCTGGGACCTCGAGCGCACGCTGTGCCGCGAGATCTACCGCGTCGGCGGCAACAAGGAAGGGCCCAAGGGCTACGAGGCCTGGGAGGTGGACGAGGACCGACCCGAGGGCATGCTGGGCCGGTTCGCGACGGACCTGGAGCCGGCGGCCACGGGAAACGCCGACCGCGGCGTGCGCGCCATGGCCGTCGGCACCGGCGCTGTCGAGGAGGGCAAAGAGGTGCGCCACGCCTTCATCGTCACGGCGGGGGCCGACAAGAAGCTCCGCTTCTGGGACCTGCTGCGCGTCGAGAACAGCGTGGTCTTCAGCGGCCTGCGCCCGGACGAGGGCAAGCCGACTTTTACGGCCAGCCATCCTACCCCGTCCATGACGCTGAATACGGAACGCTGGCCGCGGCTGGTGGGTGGGCCCGTCTCGGGGTCTGGTTCTGCCGCTGTGCCTGGTGGCGCCCCTGGGCGGAGCAGCCGCAGGCAGCGCGCGCCTAAGTCGACGGTCATGTCGCTGGAGGAACAGGAGTTGCTGAGGAGTCACCTGGATGCGGTGGTCGATGTGGCAGTGTTGGAGTCGCCTTATGTGATGACGGTTTCGGTGGATCGGAGTGGGGTTGTGTTTGTGTTTCAGTGAGGTGTGTCTTGGGGGAGGGAGGAGGCGGTTCGGGCTTTGGGGCTGGGGAAAGGGTGGATAACTAGGTGGTAGTTATTAACTACAAGGTCACAGGCAGACACGAGTAGTCATGGGAGTTGAGGGGGCCGGGCAGGGGGGTGGTTAACATGGCGTAGTCAGGTTTATGTTTGGGTTATTGAAGAGCAGTGACTTAGTAAATTTAGGGAATAAGTTGAATATGATTGTGAACGTTTGTGATTTCTTGTACCATGCGAGTCGAATATTAAGGAGCAACACTTCGAAGTACATACATTTTTGTTATCATGCCAAGCAGAGGCCGAGGACTGACAATTGTTTGGGTTAGGGTCAGGGAAGAGGGAAGAGTGCCCCACCTTACTTTCCCACTCGCCTCAGCCTTATGGACCTTAAACCCGATCCAGAAATCGCGAACGTGAAGTCGAATTCGAAACCGCGACAACACCGATACCCAACGATAGAACTGTCGTTACGATACGACAGACAACTCATATTGACAGATTTGCGGATCGACCACCGAGAAAACGATATCCACCGACCGAATACAACCAGAAATAATAGCAAGAGGAAAACAAGTACCCCAAAATGAGGCTCACGGCAGACCTCATCAACAATTCCCTATCCTACCTCAACCCGCTCAAAGAGCGGGAGCTGGATCTTCGAGGTGCGTTGAAAAGAGCAGATACTTGCACATTGATCTTTGTTTCCAAAGAGAGCTCCGAACCGTGAATACCATGCCATAAAAGACGGATTATCTCAACGTTGCGTTTATCTTTGGTTTCGCGCCGCATACAGGTCACAGAATACCCGCGATTGAGAACCTGGGCGTTGCCGGCGTAAGTCCTCTTTCTCTCCCCCATTCCCTGCCGATCAATCAATCAATCCATCCATCAACCACAAGGTGCGGCCCTACTAACAAATAACGATTCTTCCCCCTCACACAGCCCCACGATGCCATAGACCTCACAGACAACGACATCCAAGTGCTGGGCAACTTCCCGCTGTCGCCTCGCGTGCGCACCCTGCTGCTCGCCCGCAACCGCATTGCCGCCATCCAACCCTCCCTGCCCGCCGCCGTGCCCAGCCTGCGCAACCTCGTGCTCTCCGGCAACAGCCTCGGCGAGCTGTCCGACTTGGATGTCCTCGCGCGCTTTGCGAGACTGACGCACCTGGTGCTGTTGGATAATCCGGTGACGAAGAAGGAGGTAGGTTTTGTTTCTGGTATGTTTTGATGGTTGGAGAGTGTTGTGCTGACCAAGGCTGTGTTGGGGGTGGTGTAGCATTATCGGTATTGGGTTCTCTGGCGCTGCCCTACCGTCCGCTTTCTCGACTACCAGAAGGTCAAGGATGCCGAGCGGGCAAAGGCGAAAGAGTTGTTTGGCTCGGCTGAGGCCCCGACCGAGTTGGCTTCACAGGTGGGTGCAACAGCGGTTCCTCGTGTGACAGAGGTACTGATGTTGGGACAGATCATGGGTGTGAAGAGCAAGACATTCGATGTGGGCTCGGCGAACGGCTCAACTGGTGGGCAAGGGTCGAAACTCTCCCGTCTCAAGCTTACCGACAAGGAGCGCAAGAAGCTGCAGGAGTTGATCAAGAATGCCGATAGCCTGGAGGAGATCATTAGGTTGGAGAAGGCACTCAACGAGGGACGGCTGCCGCCGGGGGTCATGGTGGAGGACGAGATGGAGCAGTGAGTTGCCCGGAGTGGTGGTGCTGGGCGGGTGCTGGAGGGATTTGTTCATTGCCAGAAACAGAAAAGTATTCTTTTGGCATTCTTGTAGTATATCATGGCAAAATAAGCGCCGTCATTACCCCCAAAACCAAACCGCCAATGATACACCGCCCTCTAACCCGTCATGTCTACATCCTCGTCCTGCTGCTGCGCCTGCCTCATCTCCGTCTCCAATTGGTCGTTGGGGTCGATCGCGTCAGAAGACAACACGCCCACCCGGGTAAGGCCATTGGCCGAGGGGGCGTTGCCGTTCATGATGGACTTCGGCCTTTTGCCGTTGGGCATACCCTCCGTTGGACGATCCTCTTCGGCGGCGGCGGTGGCGGCCTTGCCACTTTTCTCGCCGCTGACCCTGGCGCGGGCGGCGGCCGCCTTGCCCTTGACTTCCTTATACGAAGTCGTCTTGGGGATGATGTCCTCGAGAAACTCGAGATTGTCTTGGTGGGTCACGGCATTTGCTAGAGCCTCGTCAGGAATGAGCCGGCTTGGAAAAGGAAGTGGGTTTTGCTTACCCATGTCCTTGTACTGGATGTTTCGCCGCGGCTTACGCTCCAGCTTGGTCATGTTCTGAGCTTCGCCGGTGAGGTACTGGACGAACATCTCCTACCGGCTTGTGTCAATGGCTGACTTGAGAATGGAATAAAAGAAGACTGACTGTTGCCAGAGTGATGACGAAAGCGGCATTGTTGGAGCAGACGGCGATGTCAGGGTCTACTGCAATAATCTTCTTGACTCTTGTGACTGGGAGGATGTGAGTGAGGATGGAAGCGGGTAACGGAGGGCGAGATACTTACGTGGCAGCTGAGTTTGACCGGTTACTTCCTTCCGAGGAGGAATTGCCGTGGTGTTGTACGGCATTTTGTTCTACAGGTGAGAACCGATGTGTAGACTAAGGCTGAGCGAGCGAAGTAGCAAATGTTATAGCGGACGGTCCGTTTCGCTCGAAGGTGAGAATTTGAGATATAGATGTCGCGGATTTGGGGCCGACGGCTCATTTATTACCGAGAATAGTGGTTATCAAATGTCAAGCGGCCAAAGATGAAATGATCCAGGTGTATGAAGTTGAGGAATGGAGCCTGGCTGGGCCATTTAAGTGGACGCGTGAGAACGCGATGTGGTACATACAACCCCTGGACCTCTTGGCAGGTATGGGAGGTACTTCCTCTGAAATCTAAGGGAAAGTTCCAAATAGTTAAGGGGGAAAGAAATCTAAAAAGAAACTACAAACAACGAGAATTTCTCTTCTGTTTTACTGTAGCCGGCCCAATATTATCAACCAATTCAAAAAGCTAAAGAACAGAAATCTATGGATATCGTATGGATGAAATATGTGTATTCGTGCTGTGTATGTATTCGTACCTTACCGCCAACCTTCGAAGGCGTTAACTATCAGAAAGTTAGTTAACTAAGGCGCTATGCCTGATTAGGTAATGTGGGAAGGACGAGGCGGCACGCCAGCCTCGCTGCGCTGCAAGTAACGCCGATACAATGCGAAAGTCAAGAAATGATCAAACAACCATCGTTGTTTTTCAAGCCTCGAAACCCCAATGCCGCTCACATAGACGACACCCTAACGGCGGCCAAAGGGCGCCATGAATTTCCCATCACGGTCCACATCCCTCTCGGTAGTCCCACAGCCGGTGCGACGACCTTCCGTGAGCTCGAGATTGTCGTCCGCTGTATCCATCGCCGAGCGTGGGGAGACCCAGGATGGAGGGGGCATAGCAGCGCAACATCAAATAGAGGAGGAGATTGCAAAGATTAAACGCTACGAGGTTGGACATACCCCTCTTTTTTTTTCCCCTGTGTCATAGTCGCAGCGCAGCCACTGACGAAGACCCTCTCTGTTCAGGACTTCACCACCATCGGTATGCGCCAACTCCCAACCGTGGCCGTCGCAATTAAGCAACTCGAGCCCTCCAGCTAATACGAGCAAGATTGGGTACAGGATGCAGCCCGAGAGCAGCTGCGTAGAAAGGCGCGAAGGAAACGACAGGCCGGTCTCTACGGCGTGGGGCGGTTTGACTGGAGGCAGCGGATACGGGAAGCCTACGATGCGGCCCAGGGCTGGATTGTCGTCACTATCATTGGCGCCGCCATTGGGCTGAATGCCGGCTTGCTGAACATCATCACCGAATGGCTGGCCGACATCAAGCTCGGCTACTGCTCCACTAAATTCTACCTAAATGAGGACTTTTGTTGTTGGGGCGAAGAGAATGGTAAAGACGCCTTGGGCTATGTTCTGACCTAGCCGATATCCCCCACGCTTTGCCCCCCCCCGCTCACACTCGCTAGGATGCGCCGACTGGCACCAATGGACCATCATCGAACCCGTCAACTACATCATATACATAATCTTTGCCGTTCGACCCCCCTCGGAGACCTACAACCCGAGGCCATGAGCTGACTGCCATCTAGGCTTTGTTCGCCTCCACAGCTGCCGTTCTCGTCAAGTCCTATGCCCCTTACGCCGCGGGATCGGGCATTTCCGAGATCAAGTGCATCATTGCCGGCTTTGTCATGAAAGGCTTCCTCGGCTTCTGGACCCTGGTCATCAAGTCTCTAGCTTTGCCCCTCTCCATTGGATCAGGGCTCTCCGTCGGAAAGGAAGGGCCGAGTGTCCATTATGCCGTCTGCACCGGCAACGTTATCTCTAGGCTCTTTGCCAAATATCGCCGGAATGCGTCCAAAACCCGTGAGGTTCTTAGTGCTTGCGCTGCTGCTGGTGTGGCCGTCGCCTTCGGCAGCCCGATCGGCGGTGTCCTCTTCTCTCTCGAAGAGATGTCGAGTTACTTCCCCCTCAAAACCTTGTGGCGCAGTTACTTTTGCGCCCTGGTTGCGACGGCAGTTCTGGCCGCCATGAACCCCTTCCGAACCGGCCAGCTGGTCATGTTCCAAGTCAAGTATGACCGGTCGTGGCACTTCTTCGAGGTCCTCTTCTACGTCATCCTCGGTGTATTTGGTGGTTTGTACGGTGCCTTTGTGATGAAATGGAACCTCAGGGCTCAGGCGTTTCGGAAGAAGTACCTGGCGAACTATGCCATCCTCGAAGCAACACTGTTGGCTGTCGCCACCGCCATTATCTGCTACCCCAATGCTTTTCTGAGGATTGAAATGACCGAGAGCATGAAGGTCCTTTTTCGAGAATGCGAGGGTGCCGAGGACTACCACGGATTGTGCGACCCCAAGCACCGCTTCGGGAACGTCGTCTCCCTCATCTTGGCCACCGTCATTAGGATCTTTTTCGTCATCATATCCTACGGCTGCAAGGTCCCGGCTGGCATATTTGTGCCCTCCATGGCAATCGGCGCGTCGTTCGGGCGAACAGTTGGAATAATTGTTCAAGCAATCCACGAAGCCAACCCGAAGAGCGTCTTCTTCTCTGCGTGCGAGCCGGATGTTCCATGTATTACCCCTGGAACATACGCGTTCCTCGGTGCTGCGGCGGCGCTCAGCGGCATCATGCACATCACCGTCTCCGTCGTGGTCATCATGTTCGAACTGACCGGCGCGCTGACCTACATCCTACCGACCATGATTGTTGTTGGCGTCACCAAAGCCGTCAGCGAACTATGCGGCAAGGGTGGTATCGCGGACCGCATGATCTGGTTCAGCGGCTTTCCATACCTTGACCACAAAGAAGAACACAACTTCGGCGTCCCCGTCTCGCAGGCCATGATCGCCGACGTCGTCTCCATTCCCTCCACCGGGATGACACTCAAGGCCGTCGAACGCCTCCTCACAAAGGACAACTACCAAGGCTTCCCTATCGTCGAAGACGACACCTCACGACTCCTGCTCGGCTATATCGGCCGCACTGAGCTCCGTTACGCCGTCGACCGCGCCAAACGCGAACGCACACTCAGCCCCTTATCAAAATGCACTTTTTCCGTCCCCTCAGCCGCGGCCACAACCACCACCCCCAACCCCCTCTTCACCACCTCCCCCTCCACCTCCGCCCCCGCCGCCCCGCTCGACTACGCCACCTCGGCCTCCACCACCATCGACTTCACGCCCTACATCGACCCCACCCCACTGACCGCCCACCCTCGCCTGCCCCTCGAAACGGTCATGGAGCTCTTCCGCAAGATCGGCCCGCGCGTCATCCTCATCGAGCACCGCGGCCGCCTCACGGGGCTCATCACCGTCAAGGACTGCCTCAAGTACCAGTTCAAGGCCGAAGCCGCCGAGCACCTGCACACCCACCCGCGCGAGGGCGACCTCCGCCGCCTCGAGGAGGAAGGGCAGGAGCGCGTGTGGGCCATGATCAGGGCCGCGGCGGGGTGGGTGTCGGATACGGTTGGGAGGGTGAGTGGTGGGCGGGTGAGGTTGAGGGATTCGTGGGAGGGGGAGGAGAGGGATCGTGATTTTGCTGCTGCTGCGGGGGTGAGCGAGGGGAGAGGGAGGAATGGGCATGGTGGGATATTGGATGGGACGGAGGAGGTGGGGGATGAGGATGGTGGGCTGGAGTTGGAGGATCGGTGGCCCGGGGAGAGGCGATAGATGGACGGGTTGGGTTGGGTTGGTTAGGTTAGGTTAGGTTCTTGGGGGGGTTGATATGATAGGTTACGATAGTTGGATGGGCTATGAAATGAATTGAAGTGAGTGTCTCTGTTTGCTGTCTTGACTACGAAGGGCCGGCGTGTTGGTGAAACGAACCTGCCTGTAAGTATCTGAGAGTCGATTGGTGTTCTAGAGGCCCATCCAAGTTGGCGTTGTCTGGGAGGCATGCAGAGGAGAATCGGGGTTCGCTGCATGGGAGGTGAACGACAGGACAAGGCTAAGACACCTGTCCCAATGGTTGTTTGGGAGGCATGCGGTAGGGAGATTCCGGGTCTGCTACACGGAAAGTGATCAACTGGTTTGGGTGGACGGCCATCAAGACCATGCTCATTTTCCCGACGATACCCGCCTCATAAGAGCCCGGATAGGATCCCATTGGCTTATTGTGCCCGAGACCTTGGAGCACAGGTGCAGCGCCATATGCGAGATAGGATAGCTGTAACTAGGTCCGCCCGGCCAAACAATTCTGATGTGCCAGAGGAGATTCGTCACTGCCCCCAGTCGACTTGAAAGGACACTTACCCAATTGTCACACTGAGATAACGTGCAATCCAATTCTAGAAGTTCGTGTTGTAAACCTGGTCTCAACTCCGTAAATTCAATAATCTGCGTTTAATAAAATTATTCAATTCGTAAAACGCCAAGGTGATCCGCGCAGTGCGGTGGCACAATTGCCAATTGCCAGCACTGCAATTGGAGTTTCTGTTATTCACGCCGAGCTGATCCACGCATCGGGTTGTCTCTCGCCTTCGGGATCGCAGTGGGTCACATGGCCGCGGTGCGCAGGTGACCCCACCGAGGTCGGCGCCAACGGCGCTTTGGGGCCGGGAACCCTGGCACCGCCTTGGGATACCAACACCGGCTGACTGTCCCCTTTCTGACACCGCCATTCCCAACTCTTGTCCTTCGCAGCATACCATAACCTCATGTATTCATCCGAACAATCACCCACCATCTACCAAATATCTCCCTCGGACATCACGACAACAACAACAACAATCGTCAGACATCCCTAACCGGCACCTTCGGCATCCATCGACCCACTGAATCTGATCGGGATCCACCAGCCCACAGCGTTGTCGGAATCGTAACATCGAGTCTTTCCTTCGCATCGTTGGTTCGCCGATAGCCTCTAACACCCTCAGCATGGCGGTTGGTATCATCAAGAGCTCCGTGTCGAGCGGGTCGTCATCGTTTGCGTGCCGCGCCACCATCGATACCAATCGGTTTGACGACCTCGTGCTCGCCCTCAAGGATGCTCTTGGCCCCTCTTCTGGCCTTACATCAGACGATGTCGACGTTGGTCACCTGACTCGGTTGATGCGTGACTATGACTCGAGTCCGCGGGAGTGGTCCAAGTTTGCCATGGGCGACGAGAGCCGGGCGTACACCAGGAACCTGGTCGACGAAGGGAACGGGAAGAGCAATCTGGTAGGTCCGAGTAACCAAACAATAGAAACCCATCGTTTGTTTACTTTACCCCTGACTGACCAAAACAGCTGGTTCTCGTTTGGTCGCCCGGCAAGGGGAGCCCAATCCACGACCACGGCAACGCCCACTGCCTGATGAAGATCCTCCATGGTGACTTGACGGAAACGAGATATGACTTCCCAGAGGGGGAAACAGAGAAGCCGATGAAGGTCATTTCGGAGAAGGTACATAAGGAGAACGAGGTGGCGTACATGGCGGACGAGCTCGGCGTCCACCGTGTCTCGAACCAGGGCAGCGGCTTCGCTGTGTCCCTACATTTGTATACTCCGCCCAACGTTGCCAAGGGGGGATGCCATATCTTCAATGTCGATACGGGCAAGAAGAGCCATGTCAAGAACTGCGGGTACTTTTCCGCGTACGGGAAGAGGTTGTGATGGTGAGAAACGGGAAGAGGGAGTCTGGGTTTTACGGTGCGAGCAACTTTGCTCGCGGAGTTTGGGGTTAGGATGAAGAATGAGAATGGGGGTATCATATAATAATAATATGTCCAGTAGACGACAGAACGAGATGTTTACTTCCCCTTTTGCATACCATGGGCGCCCATGATGGCCGAGCACTCGCCCGTTGAATCCGACTCTGTCCGTGAGCGCCGCAACCGAGCGAAATCCGGCGAGTTTTCCCAAAACGGAAACGAGGGCCACTCTGCGCTGCTGAGAGTGGTTTCATCGAATTCTCGCGCAAAAACGGACATGGCGGCACCGCTGAAAAGCCTAGGAGAGGGCGATGGTTGTCAAGGGCTGATAATGCGCCAGAAGAAGTCAACAGAGGAGAAAAGGGAGGAATGAGGTTCACGTCGTCGACGTCCTGAGCAACCTTTCCAAACTAAGGCCATTTAGGGACTAGCGCGGATTGCACCATTTGACTCTCGATCTATTGGCTGTCAGGGCAAGGTGGATTTTGCCTGACAGGCACATGGTTTGTAAGCCATTCACAGCCTAACCCTAACCCACTCTTGTTGTCACCGAATCCAGCAACACCAAGCGCTTTCTTTCTCGATGGTTGTCTCAAGCATGTTGTTTCTTGAATGTCAACTCTTTCAGGTTCTTGTTTATACATGTTGCGGTCAGAAAGAGGATACCGAAGAGCATGCTCAACACAATGTCCGCTGAGTACGATTATTGGAGAAATTGTCGACCAAGTGAAATGAAAACCCGAGACTCTTGATTCACCCCCCAATATATCAACCAAGACTCGGCGACCAGACAAGATCCACCTAAGCACGGTCTTCTAAAGGTGGAAAGTAGGTTCCTCGCCGCCCTCAAACGATTTGTACACGGCCGTAATAGCATCCGCAAGCTCGTCTGGAAGAGGTCCGGCCTCGAACGCGTCGAGCGACTGCTCCAGCTGCTGCATCGTGCGGACACCAAAGACGACGGCGTCCCCATACTTTCCGTCCAACTGGGAGTGGTACGTCGTCCATCGCAGTGCTGCCGCGTGCCCGCTCACCCCGTGCTTCTCCGCGGCTCGGCGCACAGCGGCCACTGCGTCGTCGGTGGAGGGGCGGGTGTAGAACTCGAGGGCCCGCTTTCCCACGGGGTTCTAGGTAGTAGCTGGTTAAAATGGTGGTGGGAGTGGTGTTTGCTGCTTTGGTGATCGGGACTTACATCGTTGCTCCAGCGCGTCGAGGCGGTCGAGTTTCCGGCGCTGCCCGAGAAAAGGCCACCTGCTCCGGGGCTGTGGTTATTCTTTGTGTTAGTTTCAGCGTCCCCTGGCATGCAACGACTCCTCAGAATTCCTGTTGACTTGCCTGTAGGCGAAGTAAGAGATGTTGTGCTTGCGGAGGAGCGGGATAAGCTCCTTTTCACCGCCTCTCATAATGGCATTGTAGTTGCCCTGGTAGATGCTGGGTTTGACATAACCCTTCTCCTCGCAAATGTCGACGAACTGTTGCACTTCCTTGGCAGTGTAGTTGGATAGCCCAAACTTCTTGAACTTGCCCTCATGGAAGGCCTTGTTCATGGCTGCTGCCGCATCCTCGAAGGGCGTCTGACGATCGGGAACATGCAGGAACATGGATTCGGTAGAGGGGGTTCGGAGGTCGGCGAGCGACTGTTTGATGCTCGCTTCGATCTTGGCAGATTCGTGAGAACCGGGAGTGCCGTCGAGGACCTTGGTATGGATGGTGAATCGAGAGGCGGCCCCGGCCTGACCGAGACGGTTTTCGGAACCCACATAGTTGCGCGCCGTGTCGATGGTCCTGTAACCGCGATTGTAGAATACATCGAGCAAGGCTTGGACTTCTTCTACCTTGTCGATATGGATGATGCCAGGGAGCGCCGTGACATCACCGATCTAGATAAAACCGGCAGGTAAGTGGGCAGTGGACCAGGGATTGAAACCCAAGAACGCAGCTACTTACCGTGTGTGTTCCAAGAACAATCTGAGGGGGTTGACGAGCGGAAGCCATGGCGAAGAAGCTGACAGGGGTCGGGTCTTATTGAGGTGTGCTGTGATGGATGGCTGAGAGGTTTGGGAGTTGGGAACATCAACGTTACAGACGTGGCAGAACGCCTACTTTATAAGTGGGAAGCACCATGACAACCCACATCACTTTAATACTCTGCTTTGAAATCATGCCCAAAGTCCCTGAAGTGTATCACGGGACCAGCATCACTCCCGCAAGTGTTCCGCAAGTATCCCGCAAGTCGCCGCAACTCTTCCGCACGTCTCCCGCGACTCGCCCGCAAACTATCCGCAGTTGGCCGCATCTTTCCTGCCACGGACACTCCGCAATGGCATCCCCCGTTGTTTTTCGTTTGTTATCTTGGTCTAGTAGTACGGTTGTGGGACCGGAAGAGAGGAAGCCGGGCAGATCCGCGGACCGGTATACGGACGAGACTTAGAATCGTACGGAGTATCCGAGATAGCTCACCCAGTCGTTTCCCGTGTGAGAAATTCCGCTCAAGCAAGGGGCTACTGCCTCTTTTGTATATATAGCATCCGCGAGTGAGACGGGCCCGAGGTTGCTAGGTCGAGTTGTAAGTAGCCCATCATACGCGATCATCACCATGTCTCCTGTCACCATCAGGAGGAAATCAGGCAGGGCTGAATACGGCGCAGGATGCCATCTTATATAAACTACGTTATCTAAATTCTACTTTCCCCCACCGTCCCATCAATCCAGCACTGCATCCTGTCCACACCAACCGCACACCCCCATACCACCTTCGCAAAACCATCGATTTCCCCCGCAGCATACCGGGAGATGAATTGCTCGGGGCACAGCGACGAGGCGAGCAGCGGCGACTCCACCGAGGACAGCTCAAGCCACTTCACGGCAGACTTGGCCTCCCACAGGCCGGCGCGCGCGGTGAACATGACAGCGCCGGTACACTCGGCCCAGCCGCGGACCATGCACTCGTACACGTTGGCGATGGTCTCGATGATGATCAGTGAGCGCCGGACGCTCTCCGTCAGGATCCAGAGCTGCCAAAGTTCTGTGGCGGCGTTGTAGTAGTCGTGGCCGCCAAAGTTATGGGTGGTACCGGAGGTGGTCTGTTGAGAGGCGAGTGGCCCGGGGTTGTGGTATTCGTTTCGGTATCGCTGCATTGCTTCCCACAGTTGAGTTAGCCATCGTCGGAGGGTTGGAAGCTGACCTTCGGCGGCAGCCCGCGCGCGTACTGAGCCGTCAAAGAGTCGGATAAAGATGTAGGTAAACAGGGCATGGACGCGGGCTAGATAGCCCCGTACGGCCGCCGCACCACCGTCACCGTCGCCACCATCGCCACCACCGACAGCAGCGCTGGGCAGACTCTCGCAGGCCAGCGCAGACGAGCGGTCTTCGGCAATCTGTAAAATCGTCTCCTTCACCACCGGGGTGCAGCTGGTGTAAGCGGAGAGCGTCGTGAAAGCGTCCTGAAGACAGGGAGGCATGCTTTTGCCATACAGCCGCTCATGGATGAAGCTGTTGTGGCCGGTCCTGGCCCAGGACTGCAGCATCCCTTCTACGGCGTGGATGAACGGGTCCAGCTCGACACCGGCGGACCCATGCGGTTGTTGGTGCTCCTTTACCCAGGTCTCGTCTTGAAGAAACCAGGGGCTGGTTTCGCTGCCAGAGAGCTCTCGGCGCCCTGAAAGGGGCCCGAAAAGGGGTGTCGTTGAGATAAGATCATGGGGCGTAAGGGTATCGGGCTGAAGCGGGATATGATCGAGGTCAGGTCCGAGTCCGGCTGCGGGCCAGTCCCCTAAACTCACGGCCGGCACACCGGGGTTCTGCATGGTGGGCAATGGTAAGGGCCCAGTTTGGGGCAACGTGAGGAGTGACGCAGCATCTCCCCGCCGACGCTTTTTGGGTTGCGGATAGACACAGTCGATGTCCCTGTCTATACACCGCTGGCACTTAGGCAACTGCTGGTCGCACCTGCGCTTAGACTCTGCGCAAGCGAGGCACGCTTTCCGGTGAGGTTTTGGCATAGCGCATCACGTCGTAGACATAGACGGGAATCCGTGGTGAAGCGTAAAGAGGCAGTTGTATTCTCGTCCCCAAACCCCTTCACTGCCTTCTCTGAACACATCATATTCTGGATCTGCAGGTATGCTTACAAATGCCTATTTGGTAAGATGCTTGACAGGAAGAAGCTTGACGTGCTGATTGTGGATGAGCTGCGCGTTCCAAATAATTACCACATTCGATAACTAACTACTTTGTTATTCGTATTTTTTTGGCAATGCTCTTCAGTGTTTTGAGACACCTGGACTTGGTTCAAGCTGGGCCTGATTCAGGAACATCAGTACCTGCCAAGTTTCATGACCCGTCGAACCCGCCGAGCCAGGAAGAGCAGTGGCAATGACCCCCAGCGGCAAAAATGTCCCGGATTAGTTATCCCTTTCGGAAACAGCAATGCATGGGTCGCTCCTGCCCCAGCTTGCCCAGCCGACCCCAGCAGAGATTGCCCAGCCAAGAGCTGATGCCCCTCACAAGAGAAGGCTTTTGCTTTAACAATCTGCTAAGATAGGCTTAGTGACACACGATCTTGGTCCATTTCTCGCGCGAAGGATGGAAGGACCTTTTTGCAATTGACTACCAAGGTCGTTAGCGTTTTTTCCTTTCATTTGGCGGCGGTCCAGGCCATCGTCCTCGCCCAGTATTAACGCTGCCAGCTGTCCACCCTTCAGCAACAACAACAGGATCTGTTTCGAGACATGGAAAGTTGCTCGCTTCAAAGAGTACGAAGCAGTTTTTCCACATTTGGGATTTCGGTGTCCTCACGAGATGTTTTACCTTCCCCCTTGCCCCCAATAATTGCACTCGGCTTGTAGTCGACCAGTCTTATCCAAGAGCGACAGGATTCGGACTTCAGCCATGTTACATGCGCCGGTCCAGACTGCCTCACATGGTCTAGTCGAACACATTCCGCCTAAATTCTGTCTGCGGACTCCGAGAGCTTCCAGAAACACAGGGAATATGGTTGTTCTCCTGCACAGGAAGGACTGAGGAATCCCGTCCAATTGCACCTGTGACGTGCCAAGGCTCCATTCCACGATGCACCGTCAGCGTCTGAGCCCCCGATCATCCCTCGGTCAGTCACCACATGGAGGCGGGACACCCCGAAAAGGGGTTCCGCTGCCACAGTCTCACGGCGAGCAAGGGGCACGCTGGGGCACAGCAAGCCATGTTGTCATCTCAGCTTTTATGGGAGGCCGACAAGTTGAGACGGACCCAGTGATCTGGCAATCGGATAGGATCAGTAAAGTAAATGCATCATTTTGTTGCCGCACACCACTGCGAGCCTCTCGCCACCGACGTGCTTTTTATCGGGAGGCCCAGAGGTTTGGCAGGAACTGCTCCATACCAACCCAACCGCCCGGATACATAACGTTACATGCATACCCCCCTCGTGGTTCGGCTTTTTATTTTCCAGGGCCTAGACGAAAGATAGTCCCTTGGCCTTCCCCAGATTCCAGACACAGGATCGGAGATTTGGATGATCGTGATCATAAGCGACACCTTCCCCCCCGTTTCCGAAGAGACCGGCCCCGAAGGTTCTGCTCCGTGCTCCGATTCTAGCCAGAAACTCGCGAGGATGATGGCAACGGGAGTCTGCTGAGCAGCTCTCGCACGTATGCTTGTTCAACCGACATGTCGTTCGACGGTTATTCCCCTCTGGCCGAGGCGAGCGACGACCTCAGCCCGCTCCCCCTTGTACTTCGCCAAGGACTTACAGCCATCGCCGTGCTGTCTTGTCTCTCCTTTGTCTCGTCCACCGTTGTACTGGTCTATCTCACCGTCAAGCTCGCACGATGGTATCTCAGAAACAGGAGACAAAACCGGAACGCTGCCGCCGGACCGGCTACTCCCCCGGTTGACCTGGCCTTAGGCCTTGCTGAAGGCCTTTACATGGGCGATGTCGGCAAACGAGGACGGCCTCCGGCGCCGAAGAAGGCTCGCCTCAACCAGTTTTTGATCCTCTTATATCATCTCTTGCTGGCCGACATACATCAAGCAGCGTCATTCATCCTGAATGCCGTATGGGTTGGCCGTGACGGGATCCAGGTCCGGACAGCCACCTGCTGGGCTCAGGCGTGGCTCATCCAGACGGGCGATTTGGCCTCGAGCTTTTTCATCACCGCTATTGCCGTTCACACATACCTCGCCGTTGTATGGAATTACACGCCGCCGCAGTCGGCCATCTACATCGTCGTTGTTTTCTTATGGGCATTTAACTATCTCTTAATAATAATCGGGATTGCCGTTACCGACAATGGTAGAGAGGTCGGGGGCTTCTTCGTACGGGCGACGGCATGGGTAAGTTGACCATTGATTTTGCCCAGCCTGGTTTGTTCACTAACCATCCACAGTGCTGGATCAACGTCCACTACGAAGGCCTTCGCCTCTACCTTCACTATCTCTGGATCTTCCTCGCACTCGCCATCACCAGCATCCTCTACACCCTCATCTTCCTCTCCCTCCGCAAGAAACGCCTATCTCACTCCAACAACAATCTCACCGCCGGCGCAGCAGCCGACTCGACGACTAACATCAACGACGGCAGCGCTGACATCAACACCAACGCCACCGACAGCATCACAGCCAAACCCCTCCCCAAACTAACCCTCCACGCCCTCCACCCCCCCAACACCACCACCACCACCACCACCACCACCAAACCCCCCTTCAACAACCACCACACCCACGGCCACCCCCGCCAAGGAGGCGGGGGAAGCAGCAGCGGAGGCGGCCACGACAAAGCCTTCCTGCTCTACCCGCTCATCTACATCCTCTGCACGGCGCCGCTCGCGCTGGGCCGCATCGCCACCATGGCGGGCGTCGACGTGCCCGTGTGGTACTTTTGCACGGCGGGCGCCCTCATCACCAGCAACGGCTGGCTGGACGTGCTGCTGTGGGGCGTCACGCGCCACCGGCTGCTGTTTGGCGGGGATGTGGACGCCGAGGAGACGGGGTTGGATACCTTTGCGTTTATGAGGACGCCGCATGGGAGGCGGTGGGGGAATATGGTCTGGGTGGAAGGGGGTGGGAGTGGGAAGAATGGTGGTGGGGGAAGTAGTGGAGGTGGGAATGGGGGTGAAGGGAAGGGTGAGGCGGGAAAGTTGGGTGGGTTGGCTAAGCGCAGGATGGGGTGGCGGCCGTTAGGGTTTGGGGGTGGGAGTGGTGGAGGGGGGCAAGGAGAGAGTAGGGGGAGAGGGGATGGTGGTGGCCTGTCTGGGGCTGTGACAGCCGGGAGAGAAGATGGGTTGGCGATTCAGATGGATATGGTTACGACTGTTGTTGTTGAGCCTGCCGACACAGCGGGGGATGACTGGAATAGGGGAAGGGGCCGGCATGCTCCGAGCGGCTCGACGGGGACCAGGAGTGGAGATGATATATGACAATGACACGGATTCGGCCCCGGAGGATGGGCTGGTTAAAAGTATTAGTCAGAAAACTTAGTGTAGGGCAAAGGAGTAGACAAGATAGAGTTGCTCGGGGCCCTGGTGACCGATACGACATGATAGTGTTGCTGTTGATGTTCATCTGGAAATTACCTACCTAATTACCCATTACCTTACTCCTTGAGGAGAAAAGAAAGGTCGACGTGTACGCTCACAGAGAGCACTACGCATTACTGGCGATGTTCTGAAAACAAATATTTCCTGATCCCCGCCGGGGGGGGAGGGGGGGGGGGTTCTGGAGTCTGCGAACAGAGGGGCTGCGGCTGAGGAAAAGATAAGTTGGGGAGGTTTGACTTAAGGGAAGGAACGCAACTTCCAGACCGCATCCCAAAGCAGAAGCAGCCGCTCATTTGGTTGAAGATCTCATTCTGTCCAAATTAACAGATTCGTTTCGAGCAAGGCCCAATCGATCTTTGAGTGACAGACGCGAGGAGGTTTAATACGCTGGTGACTTAATTAAAGGCTTAGATGGAGTATTGTCCTTCCCACCTCCTCGCCTTATCAGGCACACGGTCACCCAATTAGCATTTTATACTTTTACACTACGCTCTTTTGACGCTTAAAAGAATCGGATTGTGTGTGTTTCGCCCCCGTCACTCCGGGTGACTTTCAGTGCCAGGACAAAGATTGTTGTTGTTCTTAATCGGGCAATACCAAGCGCCGCAAGGGCTGCAAGCCAAGTCGTCACCTGCAGTGACAACACCGTCTCTCCCCAGTTCTGGGTTTCGGGAAGCCACATGATGCTAGCCCGGCCAGAGCGGTTTTCGGGATAACCGGGATACTGAGAGGTTTTTGAGGGTCAGAAGCGAAGCGATCAACTCGGTGTGGCATTCGTCATGCAGGTTTTCATAAGGTAACATGCAGAACGGCTGGTGTTGACGTTGACTTCCAAGGAATCTGATCCTTTCGCAATCTTAGACGACGTATAAATCACCCCCACCCCGAACTCCCCTGGCCGCCTTCGGATTCAATATCAAGTACGCTCATTGCAAGGCTTTCGACCCAGCTCGCGCTCCTGACACTACAACAAGCCCAGCCCAATTTGGCGCCGTATTCGACACAGACAAACATGTCCCTCTGCGCCTTTGGCACCGTCCCGCCGGGGGCGTTAGCTACCCCGGTGCCGTTCCGGCTCAGCGTGTCAGTGGCGCAGCAGGAGAAGCTCGTCAAGCTGGTCCGCCAAGCCGAGATCGCGGTGCCGTCGTACTACAACACGCACACTGACGCGTCCAACACGTCATCGCTCGGCCTCTCGCGCGACTGGCTGGTCGATGCCCAGGACGCCTGGACCTCGGGCGAGTACAGCTGGGCCGCGGAGCAGAAGCGCCTCAACCGCTTCCCCCAGTTCCGCATCAACATCACCACCAGCACCACCACGACGGCATCTAACCCTGGCAGCGACAGCAGCAGCAATGGCGATGGCGCAGATAGCGAGAGCGAGACGTTCGACCTGCACTTCGCGGCGCTATTCTCGCGCAACGCGTCGGCCACGCCGGTGGTGCTGATGCACGGGTGGCCGGGGTCATGGATCGAGTTCGGGCCGGTGCTGGACCGGCTCGCGGCGCGGTACACGCCCGACACGCTGCCGTACCACGTGGTGGTGCCGTCGCTGCCGGACTACGGCCTGTCGACGCGGCGCGGCGAGCTGCAGCGGGCGCTGACCATGGAAGGCGCCGCGGGTGCGATCGATGGCCTCATGGGCGCGCTGGGCTTCGGCGCCGGCTACGTCGCCCAGGGAGGCGATGTCGGCGCCATCGTGGGGCAGGTGTTGTGTGCCAAGTTTGAGGCTTGCAAGGCGCTTCATTGTGAGTGTGGCTCGGTTGCAGTCTTTGGTTGGGATGGGGGATGCTGACGAGGTGGTGATAGTGAATCTGTACTTCATGAGCGCAGACGACGCGGCTGCTGTTGCCGGCTTGCCCGTCACGCCTGCTGAGCAAGTCCAGCTGGGTAGGGCGGCAATATGGGGCTCAGTAGGTACTGCGTACGTTAGCCAGCACGGGACTCGGCCGTCGACCATCGCTCTAGCTCTCAGTACGAACCCGCTCGCCATGTTAAGTTGGTAAGTCTACCGAGAGACGTGCTCCCGTTGGCAAAAGACGCTGACGGCCGGCCAGGATGGGCGAGAAGTTCATCGAGTGGAGCGATAACCGTTTCCCCCTCCCGCTCAACACCATTCTGTCTCTGACGTCCTTCTACTGGTTCACCAACTCGTTCGGGCGCGGTCTGTGGGCCTATAGCTTCGCTGTCAACCGTATTCCCGTTCCGTTTTCCTTGACCAAGCCGTTTGGGTATTCGTCCTACCCCATCGAGGTTTCGGCCTTCCCGCGAGCATGGGCCGAGCATCTGTACCCGAACTTGGTGCTCTACAAGACCCACGACAAGGCAAGTCGAAGCCAGCGGGATGAAGTGTTCACATGATCCTAACATGATCCTTCTAGGGCGGTCATTTTGCGGCACTAGAGCAGCCTGATCTGTTTTTGCAGGATTTAGAGGAGTTCATGGGGCTGGTTGGGCCCAACGTGACCAGATCCTGACGAGAAGAAGTCGTCACTGCCTGTGTAGGACAGTCGCCGAGACGCCGAGAGTCTCGGGCCCGGGATCTGGTGGTCGGTCTGAGGAGGCTGCGGCACGACAACCCGATCACCAGATGGTAGTCCGATTGGAAATAATGCCGTGCGCCGATCATTGTGGATGTAATCTCTAATCTACACCGTGTAGTTGCACAGTCAGTCACCAAAGGGCAGCAATGGAGGAATGACAATCCAGAAAAACAGAAGCGGTGAAGAATGCGCCGCAGCGTTGCTTATAGAAAAAAGAATGGCGGTGGCTTCCTTCGCATGCGCTGGCTTCGTTTAGCGCCAGATAAGCATTCTAGGATGGCAAACTGCATGAATGTGCCGTGTGACTGCTCTTGCTCGGTTTCTCAGAGGAAAGGTGAGGAAGGCACAAAGGGTTAGGGTTCACGATCTTCTCGAAACCCGAGCCCCCCCACTTTGCCCCAAGTTGACTGTGGAGCTCGACGCAAGATCGATCTGCGCGTTCAGGCACGGCAGAATGTTCCTCAGGATTCCTGATCAGCCGGTAAAGCTTCCATGACTGAGGGGTTCCGACGCTGATGAGATTTGCGAGCGAGGGTATTCAACCGGACAGAGGAGGGCACAACTCAGTAACGAACTCACCACTGGAACTTACACCAGTTATTGGTAGATCGCTGTGAGAATCAGTCGGCAAATGGCCTGTTCGTTAACAACAAGCTCGACAGGCCGCCCGGAGCTTCTTGGCCGCACAAGCTTTGGCCCCATCGATTGATCTGAGCCAGTGACGGCTCGGCTGACATGAAACACAAGCTCGTCCCCTCTCATTTTCCAAAAATATGACACGCATCTGGACCTGCACGCAATTATCCATCTGAAACGACGGCCGACGATGCCCGACTGCGACGCTACTTGGGGAGCAGTTCCAGTTCAGTTCAGTTTAGTTCAGGTCAACTGAATGGTAGAAACCAAGGTTTGCCAACACTTGGCCAACGCATCGAATCACAGCAGGCAGCCACCACGTCCAGTGCGACATCTGTTGCTGGATCTGATGTTGTTTTCCGAGGCACGGCTGAAATGGCCCAATTCCATATCGTGACTCGTGCGGCCCAGCCGTGTTTTTATGCTGTGCCGCCGCGGCGCGGGCCCCAATGGCAGATGTTTGCATAAGCGGCTGAAAAGTCCATGTGCGGGCTGATCCGGTCTTGATATCGTCGAGGCGGGAGTTGGGTGGTGGGAGAGGTAGTTAGGGAGGGGGTAAGGGATCTATATGCTCAGGGAACTGACCTCGCTCCTGTTACATGCTTTAGCTTATACTACAGTCGAAGAGGCCCTACGTCTGGAGTTGCGGCGGACTTGCAGGGCAGCTTTGAAGCTCAGTTGCTCTTGGCACCACCCCAGACCAGGATACTGACCGCAGCGTGCGGCGAGGGCCAACGAATCTCGTAGACTCCCACCATCGCGTCACACGCCTCCAAGGCGCGCCGGCGGCCAGCTAACACGACCACCGCCGCCGCCGCCGCGACGCCATGACAAGGGCTAATGACTGGTGCATTCGCATCTAGACTGAAAACAAAGCGAAAACAACAAGCCCTGCCGTCGGCCCGTCGCTTGACTTGCCGTTTCTGACCCCCAGACAGTCGTCCCCACGTGGAAGAGGCCGTTTAAAATGGCCGCAGTCCAATAATTCAAATCACCCGGATTACATCTCGGGCAGGCGGTCAACCATAATGATAAACAAGCCCCATATCCGGGACGGTTGAGTAGACTGCCGAGTTTAATGATAAGGAGCTGACGGCCCCCTTCCCACCATCTCGCGCTCACCTAATATCCCAAACCTTGTTTCTCCCGGCTCAGCTCCCGGGAAAGTCCACCCGTCGACGACACGCTCTCCGACTGCATGTGAAGGCAGCCCCTGACTTGGTCAGACCAGCTGCGACGATCTAACACGGGTCGCTTCCCACCTCGCTTCCGGACCTCGATCCCCTATAATCTCGGAGCACATAACCAGGAACGGGAGGAAGGTCGAAATCAAAAGGTCCTCTGCGCCGGCAGACAAAGAAAGTGGTTGGGGATTTTTCTTGACGCAAGTCGTCAGTCAGCAACATGTGGGACAGACTCAGGAGCGTGCCCCAAAGCTCAGGGCGACAAACGGGCCGCGGACACCCACTCGACGACGGGGGGATGAGCGTGGGTTTGGGCATTGGCTACGGCGGCCTGAGCAGTGCGCCGCCGAAGGGATACAGCTACTCCATCAAGGGCGGTCCGGCACCCCAACGACCACCTCGGGAGTTTTTCGAATCGCGATAGTGAGTGGTCACTTTTTTTGTGTTGTTGTTTGCGTCGGGTGCCGTTCCATCCAATCTTCACACTTCCCGGGCTGGGGGACTTTCGCTTGGTAGTTTGCTCCGAGCACTGCCTAGCTGCGGGGGCGTTGGGGCCCCACGGCCGGCGTTCTGGGCTGTGCCTCGGCGGGCTGCAGCTTGCTGGTTCAGGCAAGGCTTGGAACACCCTTTGATTCCAGCTTACAACTCTGGAACCCCTCCATCACCTCGCCTGCGCCCAGGAACCTGAACTGCGACCTGGAGCATCCCAGCCAAACACACGCGTGGCCGCAAGTGAGGTGTGTTTGGTTTTGCACGTCTTGAGAAACCCCGACTTGTCAGACCACCAATGCACCCACATCCACATGACAGCCATATGGGCAAGCAGCACAGCACAGCACAGCAACAAATCGCTTGAGTAATTACTGACATTGCCCGCCCTCCACTACAGCGAAACTGCGCCTGCCGTCAAAGAACCGCCTCGTCGCAACCCAAACCGCATCACAGTCCGCACTGCGAATTTCCGCCCCGCATCCTCTGTTTACTCAGAAGACTCTCACTACACCGCAAACGTGGCGACCAAATACGGTTATCGGTACGGCGGGGCCGATGACATCTCGCCGCCCAGCTCCCCCGAGCCCGATGCTGGGCACGTCGATCGCTTCCTCCCCGGCGATGTCTCGCCCGATAGACGAGGATGACGCACCGGGCATACCACCATACGGGTTCTTCCCAAATTCCGACATTTCGAGAAACGATCGAGGGGGCTCAAACCATATGTTGCTGCGGAGCCACGGCAGGGGACTCAGAGCCCTCCGCTCGAACCGTGCGATAACCCAGCATCCCCATGGATGCGCAAGGGAAGCGCAGGAAAACAGTCGGAACGCTGGCGACGCGGCGACATGCATTTCTAGCCCATCGTGGGTCCGGCACCGGCATCAATCCCGGAATCCACCCGCCCGGGACGCCCCCCGGTGGGACCCACTCACCGGCGAACAGACGAGCAGCTCTCGTAGCCGGCCGGCCCAAGCCACCCCGGCCGACTTCAACCAAGACTTGGGAATCACGGGGCAAGGGTGGGCGGAACCGCAGAATGGCCCCTCGGCGGCACAGTCTTTTGGTGACCGCGTGAGGAGGATAGCCAAGAAAGCAGCGGCTGCGAGGGAGGGTAACACTGACCCCGCCGCCGGCGCATTTACATCAACGCGTCCCAGCTGGCGTGGGGCAAGCGGGCGGACCGCCATCGTTGAACCCGTGCATGATACGCGTGAAGTGGCCCCGTTGAGGATTCCCGAAAAGAGCAGCAGGAGGAACATTCCGCCTGTGGCTGCGCTGAGGTCGAACAACGCCCCAGATGGTCCGGCCCGCCGTGGCCAGACCCCGCCTATCAGCCCTCCGCCATCTGAAACACCGACCAGGTCTGCCCCGCGAGAGGCCATGGGGAGAATTTTGACCTCGTCCCAACCCCCGGCTGCCACACAGACACCGTCCCAAACTGGTCAGAGGTACCCAAGTCCCCCTCTGTCCGGCAACCGGGTCAAGGCAGATGCCCCCGCTGTTGCCGCTGCGCGGGAACTCGTGCGGGATGGCCAGTACGCCCATCCTAGCCCAGTCTTTCACTCGCCCGACTCGACCAACCAACTCCGCCGGAAGCCGCCGCCGGTGCACACCAATGCGCACCATCAACACCAGGTGTCTCTCTCGTCGGTCTACTCCCAGCAGACCGAACCACCACTACACCACTCCCCGCTGCCGATAGCAGACACGTCCCCGCCAGCAGAGGAACCCTACGTCCAGCCCCCCTCCCGTTTCAGTATCACCACCTACGCGACTAGCAACACCGGCACCACGCGTGACGACCTCGACGACCACCTCGACGGCGACCAACCCCCCGTCCCCTCTTTACCAGCCGACTACCAACAGCACTACCACATCGCCCGGCCCTCCTCAGACCACAGCCCCGTCACTTCCCCCATCGACCAATTCATGACCTCCCCCTTCTCCGCCCCGCCCCCGGTTTCTCGGACCCCCTCCACCGACCCCGAACAACAACAATACGCCATGTCAGCCGCCTACAACCCGGCGCTCGCGCGGGCACTCGCCATCGACCGGCCCTCCTCGCGCGCCTCCGACATCAACAAGACCCTCCCGCCCGCCCCGCCCGAACAGTCCGCCGACCAAGCCCAGGACCGCGTCGGCCTGCTCAACGCGCAGCTCCGGGCGCTCGCGAACCGGCGCATCAACATCAACCGGTCGATCCAGCAGATGACGGAGCTGATGCCGACCGACAAGCTGATGAACTCGGCCGAGGTCGTGCGCAAGCGCGAGTCCGAGAAGAAAAAGGTCGAGACCCTGCGCCAGGAGCTCGCCGACGTCCAGCGCGAGGAGTACGAGCTCGGCCTCAAGCTGCACCGCGCGTACAAGCGCCAGGATCGCGATGCCGATTGGGAGCCCACGACGTTGTGGGTGAGGCGCGTTACGGGGTAAGGCTGGCTGGCTGGTGGTGAAAGCGGGTGGGTGGATGGGGGGGTTGTGTGTTGTCTGTGTGGTGTTGTTATCTTGGGGGTGATGACGGGGAACAAGGGGCGTGGGTTTTGGGGTTTGGAGGACGGTGGTGCGGGATGGGGGATTGCTTGGTTTAGGTTGGTCCGGCCTGGTTGGTGGATGGTGGTGGATATGGAATGACTCTGGAAAGGCTTTCGGAAAGGAGGGTATGTTGGGTTATGTGACGTCTGCCCATATTTTCTTTTGCTTCCCCGACATGTTTGGGCTCTGAGCGTGGGAGTTGTTGGCTTGATTTTTTTTTGTTTTCATCTACTTTGAGATGCTCCCGCTCTAGACGGGGCATTCGCGCAGGTTTCGTTCTTCTCTCGAATCATCCTACCTGTGCCGGCGAGGCTGGCCATGGGTGGATTGTTAGTAGGGTCCGGCATGGGCACGGTATCAATGTACAGACAAGCAGAAAATGTACATTTTGCTCTCATTGACTTGAGCTTGTTTTTCTGGCACGCTGCCTTGTTGTGGCGGGCGTGCGTCGGTTGTCGAGAGTTCGTGTTGTGGATAGAAGAGCTCTTGCATTATTGATACGCGAGCTACCTATCAACACTTGAGCCATTCCTTGACCGTAATATGCATCACATCTTTGCAAGTGTTTCACAAGTCATATCTTGAGGCCGCGTGCAGCGATCGGACCTCGAAGAGACTTGGTGGGGTGTGGGTATCAAGCTGTTCTCTAAATACTTTTCTGTCCACCTGGTAGTCCGTCTTTCTGATATAGTCGTAAGTGTATACCCCAATTAACTCCAACCAGTCCAGCCCGGAATATTGGCTTGGGACAGCCATATAACTCGCAAACACCAGGATACCGCCGTTTAAGAAAAAGGCAAGCGCTAAATGCAAGGTATGAATCGAAGCGTGATTGAGAAATGAAGCCGGTTCAAGTCGCTTGTGTTATTACATAATGTAGATACAGACAGGGGTATTAAAGTGTGTGCCGCTATCGAGAGAGTTGGAGCCGGCTCGCTCGCTCGCTAATAGACTCCCCACTAGGGAGTCTGCAAGCGCGAGGTGCTACCCGACGCTAGACCCTTACGCACGTGGGCGGGCAGCGTCGAGGGGATATCTTCGTCGCCGTCGTCATCGGATGACGAGTCATCGTCGATAACAACGGCGGTTGGGACCTGGAAGCCTCTGTTTGGGCCGTGATCGTTGGCGCCGGGCTCTGAACCGTCCGGGGTGGCGGATTCGGAAGTCGCGCCAGATGGGTCTGGCCCACCCAAAGAGTTGCTGGCCTTGGATGGCTCGTGGATCTCGACTCGCGCGCCGGCTTGTTCGTAGACTGCCGCAGGCCGAGAGCTTTGTGGGGTGGTCGGGTCGTGGGTGGCAGCAACGGCGGACGAGCCTGCCGAACCGTTCCCGAGTAGAGACGCCGATAGAGTCTTGTGTGTTGGTGTCTCGTCCGCCAAAGATTTATATGGCGTCTGGTAGCCACCATCCTCGTCCGTTCGCTGGCGCTTGGCACTGGGTCCCTCCCAGGAGCTCGTCCGTGGGGTGTTCGCGGCGGTCCACCCACTGCCAGCTGCAGCGCGCGAAGCGAAATCTGGGTGAGCCAGTGGGCTGGCATTATGCGTTTGCGTGCCGGCCGGCCCCCTCGCTTTCTCTCTTTCCTTCTCCTTCTCGGCCTTTTTGAGGCCCAGGCGTTCTCGTTCTGCAAAGATTTCGGCTTTCGTCCGCCTCTCGCGCAGCCGCACGCCGTATTTCTTGCGGATCATGGATTGCTTGGTGCCAAAGCTGTTACGCAAACCCTCGACTCTAGCCCGCCGTGCGTTTTCGTCCGCGATTTGGTTGGCTTCTGCAAACCGGGGTTGGTATTTCTCCTCGGCCGCTTTCAACTCTTCATTCATCAGCTGCATTTGATGCTCAGTAAGATGACTGTACGGGCCGGTTGCATTCGCGGAGGCCGCCGAGCCAGGCGTGGCTGCCGCGGGTCTAGCCATGCTGGGGTGCGCTGGTGTTGATTGCTGATGTGTTCGTGAGACACCGTTTGGGAGGGACGTTTGTGAAGTTGATGGGGTAACAACTGGTGGGCTCAGGGGAGCAGCCGCGACTGTCCTTGGTTGTTGTCCTCGACTAATTCTCCGTGGTTGGCCAAAGTTGCCGCATACTTTGTGATCGAGGTGCTAGATGCCGGGTCAGTCAAATCGGTCTTCAGTTGCGGAGTAGGAGATGGCGTGATTCAACGTACTCCTTGCACTTCATCTGCATCCATAAAGCCCTGACCACAGTGTGGGCAGGAGTAATTGAAGCCATTGGAAGTCGGTGGTATTTGGCTGCAAACGTTGTATCT